GTGTGTGTGTCGGTGTGTGTGTCGGTGTGTGTGTGTGTGTGTGTGTGTGTGGGTGTGTGTGTGTGGGTGTGTAAGTGTGTGTCGGTGTGTGTGTGTCGGTGTGTGTGCGTGTCGGTGTGTGTGTCGGTGTGTGTGTCGTTGTGTGTGTGTCGGTGTGTATTTGACCGGAAATTCATAACTACTGTTCCCGTGGACCAAGAAAGCTCAAATTTGGTAGGAGTACAGGGAGCAGCATGGGAACACTTATGGCAGGTGGCAGCTCCACACTTCGCCCACATTGACGGGGCGTGCACGATAGAGATTTTAGGTCGCAAATACATAACTCCTGTTTACGAGCACCTAGAGAGTTTACATTCGGTAGGAATACGGGGACAAGGATGGGAACACTCATGGCAGGTGGCAGGACCAGACTCCGTTCGCCGGGGGCGGGGCGTGCGCGATAGAAATTTTGAAAAGCAATTCATAACTCCTGTTTACGTGGACCTAAAGGGTTTAAATTCGGTAGGAATACGGGGGGCAGGATGGGAACACTCATGGCAGGTGGCAGGACCAGACTCCGCCTACAGGGAGCGGGGTTTGTGCGGAGTAAACAATTGAGCGGAAATTCGTGACTTCTGTTTCTGTGGACCTAAAGAGTTCAAATATGGTAAGATTACAGCTTTTAACAGCATATTAACATATAACTATGAACAGCGGAACCTCGGCATTTCAATAAGTGGTGTAGGATATGACGGAATCCTAAGTAGTCGGTGACAGGAACTGATCATAATTGATAAGAGGAGATAAAAGACCTAAGAGAGGCCACCTACCGATCAAAATCCTAACCCTTCGATATTTACGATGTAGCTTTGGCTGTTCAGTATGTTTCATTCGATAAGATGAGATGGTAGAGTAGAATAACAAAAGTTAGAGGTAGAGACAGTGATAGGGACCCATAAGTGACATTACGATAAGCAGATTAGAATTTTGTTCATTTCTTGCTGTTAGATTACGACCGCTACACAGCAAAGTTTGTGACTTGTGTTAGATTACGACCGCTACACAGCAAAGTTTGTGACTTGATAAAGGATCCTCTTTGTTCGATATCATTTGCGACAAAATTAACCGACCGCCAGTTATTTGGAACTCTTAACTAATGTTATCTCTGTGAAGTAAAAGGTTCATCGATAACATCTGATAACGGTTTTATCAACACACGAAATATTTGTAAGTACCGCCCAAGGCTTTGGTTACCTAGCAGTTCAATCTTTATTGGGTATTTATCTTCAAGAATGAGAGCAAAAGATCGAGATTCCCAATTGAAGACATAAGTACCGACTTTCACTGAATACCAATACCCTGTTAGTCTCGTGTCAAACTTCGTGTACAGGAAAATATTATAGGCTTCGAAGAAGGGGTGGAGTGTTAGCCGATCGCTATAACTTTGTCAAAGAAGGAGGGAAGCCCGGCGTTAACCGGGCGAACCGACTTTACATAAGAAGGAGGATGTCGGGCGATAGCCGGGCAATCCGACTTTAATTATAATACAGAAAAATCGCTCCCCTTTCGGAGTTAATACTGAGGGTGTAGAGCTTCCAAAGGAAAAGGAGAATGAGAAGAGTTATTTACGCATAGCAAATCTCTTACAGGAAGGAGGGGTGCCCGCCGAAGCCGGGCGACGCCATAAGGAGTTAAGCCCGGCGTTAGCCGGGCGGCCCGACTGGTAAATGATATCTCGGTATAGAAAAGGGTAAATTGATAAATACATCTGATAATGAGGTGTTATCGTCACTCGGAACATTTGTGAGTACCGCTCATGGCTTCGGTTGCCTAACCCTCGAAACTTCAATGGGTACATACTTTGAAGAACGTGAGCAAAAGATCGAGACATAAAATTATAAGCATAGGCATCGACCAACACTGAATACCACCTGCAATGCCCAGTTAGTCCTATGTAAAACTTCGTGTACAGGAGAACATTACTCGTTTTGAAGAAAGAGTGAAGAATTAGCCGATTACTACAACTTTGTCGAAGAAGGAAGGAAGCCCGACGTTAGCCGGGCGAATTGACTGGTTTATTATACGTTCCTATAGTTTTTGACATTTCCAAATGTCAGTAGGCTCACAGCCTTCTAAACGATCTTGAGGCGTTGTGGTGCAAGAATCATTCACTTCCAACTATAGATTTAGGAGGAAATAGAAGTTTATGTGAAGGGAATATTAGAAAGAGCAAAATCAAGCGTTATCAGCCTCTCAGTCACTGATACTAGTGTAATGTGTAGTTTAGAAAAAACACTAGAAACAAAATTTTTGTAGCACTTGGTGCACTTTGATGCAACCCTTTTGGCATGACTTATAATCAAAGTCTTTCCCCTTGGATATTCTATGTGGCACACAGCTCATCTTCTCCAGATTTCTTTCGGACTTTCATCCCCATTTGTGAATTGTTTTCGGAGGGAGAGGCTTGTCGAGAACACTCTTAAATGAGATTTTACTAGGTTTAGCTCAACAATTCTTGTCAACAATTCTCGTAGCTCAAAACAATACAACAATGCTTGCAGTTTAGTTCGATGAAAATCCAGGCTCCTGTGCCACTCGACGCCAGTAATTGTTCGATCATGAGATAAATGAGTGTCTTGTCCCCGGTTGTGGANAAGCATCTGAATAGGGTGTGCAGTTTTGAAAAACGTGTGTGCTTCACACACTCTTAGGCTTTTTTTCGAAGTTGAGCTCCTCATAGCAACCTTATAAATCGGTGGCATCATACTGTTGAATGTTTCCTAAGTTTAAAGTAAAACGGAGACATAAAATTAAAGTGCAGATTAATTTTTTCTTGAATGTGTGCGATAAGCGCAAATGTCAAACATCAGGAAAGGTTTTGGAAGTCTCCAATGAAACGAAAGAACACAATGCAAGAATCTTGGCGGTTGCAGGAGCAAAACCGCATCTATGAAGCGAGAGCTCTTTCCTTCGTCGCCGGCGTTTGTTATTGAAGTGACAAGTTATTTAAAATTGACACTACAGTCAAGCAAATTTTGAGCCCTCATAACTTTTTTAAGGAAGCTATTTTGCGGTTTCAATTTCCATATTCGTAAGCAGCATTCAAAACTCTCGATTAATATGGGTGGTCTCCATTCGAAGTTCCACGGTAAGTTGACTACCCCCTGGTAAGACGAGGTCAGAGCACATTCCTTTCTGATGGCTCGCCGAAAATTATTGAAGCCTGGTAGGGTATTGATCCTGCACCCTCCATTTGGCACTAATCTCGCGCCATCAGAATACCACGTGCTTCGGTCGTTCTTAAAAAGCCGGAACTCAAAAGCAAATGGAAATGCGGATAAAATTGGCTATAGAACATACTCAAGCTGCATTTTGGATCAACAACATGTCAAGCAATGAAAAACATCAATACTTGGTAGGAAACCCATGGCTCTTGATCACAGCGTCACAGCGAGAGGGCATCAAGCCAATGAATCTTGAGCGAAGGTCTGGGGCATGGCTGCTGTTCATTTTCGAGCTGAGTAGATTTATTTCCTTCGTTCCTACTCAATTTGTGAGAACAGCGCCC